TTTTATCTTTGTACAATTTAGTCAAATGGCCATTAGAAAACTATTTTCTAACTGAGTTGTGAGAGAAAACACTAAGCAACTCTTCATAATTTAATATATATATAGTTTAAATTACTATGGATTTTAAATAGATGACTTTTAAACCTATTTCCAAAGCAGACAGCTTGACTTGACCCACCGTGGAGTTTATGCCCCAGAAGATGTATATCGGTTTCTGCCAACTAGAGTTGGTGAATCGAGGACATTAAAAGTCAACTTGCGAAATAATTCTTTTATTACACACTCGGTAAGTTGGAAATACTGCTGTGGGCTTTGAAAAAGTAAATGTAGTCAACTACTTGATAAACATTTTCCCGATAATTAAAAGCTGGTGTTATAGTTTTATTTAAGTTGTAATAATGAGTTAATTTTTTAAAATGCCTTAAATATATTTGAAAAGAAAATCATAGTAAGTCCATGACCCTTTAGCTGAAAATCAAAAATATTTAGCGCTTGTTTTCATGTTTTTTATCTTTTAACTGTTTCTCTTTGATATTTTCTGTACCATCAGACCAACATATTTCTGGATAATACTTAACTTTAGTCAAAACTAGAGTAAATTCGTATTAAAAATACCCTTATATGTATTTTTATGAGTATTGTTTAACCTAATTTTGTGGCTATCCTTAAATTTACAAAGGCAAATGTATATTCAAATATCTAACTTGCATAACTTCATAAAGTGTTTCATATTAAATTCCAGCTGAAGTTTTTAAGCCCCCGAGAGCCTTTCTACGTGAAGCATTCGAAATATTCTTTGAGGTGAGTTTATCATAGATCAAAATGTTATCCTAGTGCAGGACTCCATTTTCAGGATATCGAGATTTCTCTTGGGAGTTAAGACTTGGGAGGTCTCTCTCTGTTGCAGCCCCTCATCTTCGTCACGAACACCACAGAGCAATATACACATGGGTCTTCATAAATAGGAAAAGAGATAAGGAGCCCGCAGGGAAAACATTTAGTGACTATCCACTAGTATATTTTATAGTATAGCAACCCAAACTTCATGCAGTGTTTTGAACTTACATATGATTCCTATTACCTGGTATTTTGCCAGCCATGTATATATAAATACATTGAGCCTTAATTATCTTGTGATTAACTTTAGAATAATTCCTGTTTCAAATATTATTTTTACTATGCTGAGAATCAGGGATCTAAATTTTTACTAATTTGGACAAATATTAGTTTCCCCGGGTTATTTGGGGAAACTTTCATTACTTTCATTATGGTATTTTCCAGTTGTCATTCTTCAAATACCCTGTATTGTTCTTAAATCATCACCTTATTTTCTTGTTGTCTTTGCTAATTTTCTTTTTACATATGATGTCATTTAAGTTGAAATCTCAAATTTTGTCTCTCTTATTTAGAATTTTAATAGGATTCTATTGGACTTAACACTGAAGAGTAATTTTATCTTTATCTTTAATTAAACCATTTAATTATTATAAGACCTTTCATTTTAGCATTAGGAGACTATTCCAAAAACATGTCATATTCTGTGAAAACTTGGATCACTTGGTAAACATTCTAGGATTGTCTTCACTGAGTTACTAAGTCCAACAGTGCTGTAGTATGGAAACTTACATGTATCTCGGGATCCTGAAAAGGGGGAAGCCTGTTGCCTACACCTCTTACCTTTTCTTTCCTATCCTATGTTCTGTAAAACATGTTGTTTACGTACTTGGGAGGTAAGCACTTTCATTGCCTCCCAAGGCTACTGACCTGGATGCAAACTACAAATTCAATGATGAATATATCTGGAAAGTTATCATAGACTTAATCTCGCTAAGCCTCCAATTCCTCATTGGTGAAATGGAGATGATAATGCTCCTGATGGTATAGAATTGTTGTGAGGAGTACGTAAGAGATGTGTGAGCCTTAGTGCCCAGGCATAGGAAGCGCGCAGCAGACGATGGTATCTTTACCGTTATTAACAAAACCTTCCTTTTAGTTGACTTTACTGGCAGGATCCATCAAAACTAACTCCAGAGATTTCGATATAACATTACGGTTTCTTATCAGTGCTTTCCGATTTAATCCCTTCCACAACTATGTAGAAGAGAAAGGCCTAAGTTTTAAAAAACTACTAAACCCCAATTTTCCAGCTTCTCTGCTCTGAGTTCTTGTCTCCCAGTGGTCTCTGGACCCTTCAAGTTCGTGAGTTTGCCCTGATTGATTTAAGACTAGTGGTATTATAGTGTAACAGGTTGGTACTGCAAATACATAGTGGCATAACTGCAAAGCAGTTCCATTTATTTAAAAATAGATTATTTAAATTCCCAGTTGAGGTAACATTTTAGTAACTGAGTACAAATAAACGAGCTATACCGAATACTGTTATTATCTGAGTTTGAACTTTACCATAACTGCATTATTAATTCTGTTTCTCTTTTATTCTTTGCCTGGTTCACATCCCTGATCTTAACCAGCTTTAGACAGTTGTATATCTTTAAACATGAAGTAGATCATGTGGAATACGTTCATGTAAACTAGCATACACCTGGCAGAACATACTGGAAGGGCTTCAGATTTTTGTGTCAAGGATCTCTCATCTAAAATAATAATGACGATTTTTTAAAAATAAAGCTTCTTTAAAAAGTTTCAAGAAATCTTATATATTTTTTTAAATTCCCTTGAACAGCCTACTACCAACTATTTTAAAAAACAGTGTTTGCCCCATCTACTGGGAGAAAAGGGGTCAAATATGTAGTGACAGAAAGAAATCTAACTATGGGCAATGAACACACAATGCAATATATAAATGCCTTACTATTGAATGGTACACCTGAAACTTTTTGGATTTTGTTAACCAATGTCACCATAATTTTTTAAAAAAATGTTTGCTTTCCGCTCATCTATAGTTTTGGTAAAGAATCATTATTTAAAATAGGTGTTAAATTGTTTAGCTTTATGTCACTTTTCCATTTTATGGTTAGAGGATGAAGCAGTCAAAACTTTCCTGGAGTTAAACATTCATTTTCTAACTTTCATTACTGAATACATTGTGGTTTCAAATTCTCTTTTGATGTTAGGGTCTTTGCTTCATTTTCTTAACCAATTTTTAAAAAATTCTATTTCAGCTGAAATTTGTAAGCCGAATTAGTTATCTTGACCCTTTGCAGAAAAAAAGGAAAACCCTAAACCTGTTCCATTACAATAGTGTTGCAAGCAGCAGAATCTATTGCTAATATGGAGTGTAGAAACAAGATGAATTAAATGAAGAGATATAAGGGGAATTGGGGATGGCAATCCTTCTGTGGTATACAGTAGTTGTCATTGAAGTATTATAAATTCATAGAATACTGACATTACCAAAAATCAAATGTAATTTTGGCAATTAATGTTAAATTATTTTCATATTACTCATCTTTAGTTTTCATCATCTAAATATTTTAACAAGCTAGTAATATTTTTTTCTGTATGAACCTACTTGGATTTAATAGTTGTCTTAAGAGCAGCAACAGCTATCATTCTCTTCTTCCTTCTCCTTTTCGTGTTCATCTTGACTTCAGTATTATAGACATGATGAAAAAATGAGAAATTCAATTTTTATAAATGAGGTGCCATTTTGTTTAGCTTCAACTTGTTTTCTAAAATCAGTTTTGAAATATAAAATGTGTTCATTATTAGCCATTTAAAAGTAGACATTTTTATAGAGTGGAATTTGTTGACTTGCCATCCCAGTGCCAGAAAATTTTAAGCTGTCGTAAATTAGAGCACTACTTTTCTATGCAGCTACTGTGTTAATAGCTTCTAAAAGAACTTAGAAACATGAGAAATATTTTTAAATTCAGCAAAATTTGGGCAGTTTACATAAGTTAGCATTTAAAATAGATATTTTGTTTGCTTTATACTCTTTGAACATATTACTTTAAAATATTTAAAAATTCTTATGCTTTGAAGTTAAACTTTTAAAAAGGCACTTTTATACTTTATTACTGGCAGATACTTATTATTCTGAGCATGATGAGTTTCCAGAAAGTTTTCATCCATGTTAACTATCATTATGGAACTTAGGATAAATATGTAATGTTACAAATTCCAGCATCAACTCTAATAGCACAAACTCAGTATAAATTTGATAAAAATAAGAGTAAGAAAATCATGTGTTTAAAGCACTAATTCTGTGATCTGTGTAACCAAATGAAAAAGCTCTAAGTCATAGAAAACTTCTCTCATGACACATTCATAAGCTTAAATTTTACATTAAAGAAAGTGGAAAAACTGGTTTCTTTATACATAAGAATGACTTTTTTCAACTTTGGAGAAGAAACAGATCTATAGTATCTCACTTGAGAATTTTTACCAGAAAACTGAAATAGTAGGTGCTGTTCTTATAAGTATTGGGTACTTTTGCATTTACCCCAAATATTAGACACTTTGACTTTGGACAAGGACTCAGGAATTATAATTTCTGGTTGAGAAAAATAGTTAGCTTACTTTGGTGTGTGGAGCCATATCTGTTCTGAGAAACAGTTTGCAGCCTTTGATTAAACATGTTTTCATTCATTAGATAACTCAGCTTTGTGACACTATTAACTGCACACTTCAAAGTAATAATGTGACTTTAGTTATCTGTAGAGTACATGAGGTAATAATTGCCTTATAAATGTGCACCTTTCCCAAGACTGTTGTGAGGCCTGATGGGGCTACTCTCGGTAAGTTCTGGAGCGACACACAAAATTGGCACAGGGACTGTGAAGTGTAAACTGACTACAACATAAAGAGGCAGGAGAGCTTACCCCCCAGAAGTTAAGGGGTTTTGCCTAATGCAGAGGAGGGTAAGCATGAATGTATCTTGGGGATGTTTAGCCTACCTAGTGATAGATTATAAAGAAGGTAAAAGGAAATGATTAAATTTTTGGTAAAGGTTCTTTTGGATTTTAGGTGATCATCCCTTTCTCATGTCTTTAAAAAAGATTCGTTTATATTTACATTTAGCCCTGAAAAGCATCCTTCTGTTAACCTATTTTATTCAAGTCTTATCTCTGCTGAGATGTCATAGCTACTGTGTTTCTCCTGTTCTGTGCCCAGGTCTCCATGCACACAGTGCACTGCAGGTCCTGGCCCACTCCAGCTCCTGAGCTGGCAAACCCTGCCAGGTCTTTTGAGAGGGAAGGCAGTTGTCACAAAGTCACAGCCAGGGAACAACAGTAACATTGAGCTGTTGTTACTTTTCACCCACACACAGGAACCAAGCAACTTAAATTATTTTCAATTTTTTTGGTAATGATGGCACCTTGGCTGTGCTAATGTGTTAGCTTTTTCTTACAAAAGGTATTTCTTTTAAATTAAAAAAGAAAAATTATGGTTTATGTAGTTCGTAGGTTCTGATAAGCTCTTTAAATATTAATGGAGGCACATAAGAAATGAAGCAGTTTAGAGTGCACTTCCACAGCTGCCTCTCTGTTCTCTTAATGTGTTTTTTGCTCTAATGTGCCTTTGCTATAAAATTAGTCATCAGCTAGTAAAAGGTTTTGAACTAGACCTCTCCATTGGGTTCAGCATACTTTATAATTACCGTTTCCCGTGTGTGGGGGCGGGAGGGGGAGAGAGAGAGAAACAGAGATTAAAACGGTTTTTAATAACAGTACAAGATGGACATTTTAAAAATGTCCCTCTTACCAGTAGTGTTCTCTAGCTATATTAAACTTCATGGATCTTTCTAAATTGCACTCCACTTTATTCAAAGTACCTATAAATCTAAAGCAGATATATGTTTATCATAATACGTTTTTAAAAACACTTCCTCAGTTGACTATAGAACAGTTTTATATTCCATACTGAAATTTGTTAATAATGAGATCTTCCAGAAATTTATTTTGGTATATTTTATTACTTTTAGTAATTCATAAATTATAAAGCCCCTTAAGTTGGCAAAATGTACTGTGTTATTCTGAGTATAGAAATGCTAACATGAAAGAGAAAATTGTAGTTTGTCAGTGCCATAGACTAGGTACCATTTTTTTTTAAAGGCACACTAGCTTCGACATGGGAAAATAAGGCATTAATGCATTTGGGAAAAATAACCCAGACTTAAAATGTATATATATCGTTATATAGAGATATAGATATATCATCTTTTCCTATGTTATCAAGTTATATCTAGGAAAAGAGCTTCAAAATAAACTATTTTCTAAATTTCTAGTCATTGGAAGCAAAAGCATATCAGTTCATTCCTACACTTTAAAACATGTATCTCTGAGGTGAGACTAAGGATTGAAATACTTCCCTTCTAAGGGAAGTCTAAAAGCTGTAAATTTTGACCAAAAAATGATTAAGACTGAAAGTTGATAACAGCTGATAGGCAATGATAAAGTATATGTATTCACTACTAGAATAAAGTTATATATTTGAAGCTCTTGGGATCTAATTTTATGAAGACATAGGGCACGCATTACCTGCCTCAATATAATCTGAAAATAAGTTTTCAAGATGACTTTTAATAGAGGTTTCATGTGAATTTTTGGAGCAAAAACTATACAGCCCTGTTAGTGATGAGCATGGGACACATCAGTTTATTCTCTTCCCAGTTGAGTATGCTGCCAAAGTCAGTAAGGTTGGAATATGTAGGGTATGCTCTCACTTTTTCTTAGGTAAATAGGCACCTGCTTTTGTAGATGGAATATGCAGTTCCATACACCATAGATCAGAACTCTGATTTCCCCTTTTCCATTTTTATTGGCTAGCCAGGAGTATATATACAGAACTGTTTGATTTAGATTTTTCTCTCCTTTGTACCAGTTGCGTGTTAAATAATACATCAAAGAAATGAGAACTAAATTTAAGTTGAATGTACCTGGACTAGTTTCTTTCACAAAAACCTACTGAGCTCTCTGCAGACATTGTGGTTAACTGTGGCAGGTTATTTGCTTGTTACCGTAGTATCAGACTGCTGATATTTTCCTTTCTCTCTGCAGAGCCCAGCATTACATCAACATGCCTGTGCAGTTCAAACCAAAGTCGGTGGGCAAATTTGAAGCTCTGCTTGTCATTCAAATGGACGAATGCAAGAGTGTAGCTATTCGACTAATTGGTGAAGCTCTTGAAAAAATTTAACTAGAATACATTCTGTGTAAAGTAAAGGGCATGAGTTATATTTTGGTGACTTCACTTTTCTACACTACAATTATATTTTTGTATATGTTTTGTATGATAAATTAGATATATAAACAGTAGAACTTTTTGTTTTGAGAAGCTAAGATTGAAGACCTGACTTAAATATCATGTATTTAAACTATAGTATTGTACTTAACTTTTAAGGGAAGAAGAGATTTCTATTTTTGCATTAATTATGATATTCTGAGTAAATATGGTATATATTTTAATGTGATATATCCAGAAATAAAGTTAATTTTCATTGAACTTGTCTTTTCTTTATGATGTCATACAGAAATCAGAATATTGCTTTATTCTGCTAACTATTTTTAAGCTCCTACGTCTGTTTCATGATTTTTCTCCTCCATTGCATAGTTTCCTTTCCCCTAAGAAATTCGTTCTCTTTCTTTCTGTCCTTAAGCTCAGTGATCCCCAACCTTTTTGGCACCAGGGTCCAGTTTCATGGAAGACAATTTTTCCACAGACCAGGAGTGGAGATGGTTTTGGGATGATTTAAGGGCATTATATTTATTGTGCACTTTATTTCTATTATTGCATTGTAATATATAATGAAATAATTATACAACTCACCACAATGCAGAATCAGTGGGAGCCCTGAGCTTGTTTTCCTGCAACTAGATGTTACCATTTGGGGGTGATGGTAGACAGTGACACCAAAGTGTGTTGCTTATGTCCGGTCTACTTAATCTTGTTTTGGTGGCTGCCGCTGCAGAAAACCCTGCTTCACAAAGATAGGATGTTGGAAATGGAAGCAGGCTTCAAGTGCTTTTGTGACAATCTCCGGATATTCTGCCTTGACTTTAATCCACAATATATGGAGATTCAAAGTTGTCTCAAACACACTTTAAGGCCACTGTCACTTGCAATCTCAAGCAGTTGATCCTCTTCAAACAGACAAAATTCCCCTGGCTTATTCACAAAAGAGTCGTGGATCCATTCCTTCCCAGTTCAGGGGTCTCATGGTTGGAAAGTAAAGCTCAGACTCTTCTGAAAGCTGAAAAGGTGATCATGCACCAGCTGGGAGAAAGAAGGCCCTGGCTCAAAATCTCAAAATCTCTGCTAATGTTCGAAACATCAAAAATTCCAATGTTCACCCTTCATCCCATAATTCCGGTTTGGCTTTGAATGCAGCCACTTTATCTACCAACTTGAACACAGTTGTCATTCTCCCCTGAAGTGACAGATTGAGTTGATTAAGCAGGTTGAATATGACACACAAGCAAGTTTTGCAACCCATTCTGTGTCACTGAAATGTACTGCCAGCAGTGACTTTTTCTTTAAGGAATCTAAGGAGTGATTCTCATAACTCAAACTCCAGCCAGTGATCTGCCTTTAGAAAGCCATCTCATTTCTGTGTGTAAGAGGAGACGTGAGCTCTGCGTCCATCTCCTCTCAGAGCTGCACTAACATCCGAGTTAGGGACGTGTACTTTACTGTTATTGATCATTTTAATCACATCCTGCAAAACATTAGGTGACATTTTTTGGCTAGCCAGCGTTTCTCTATGGATGACACAGTACATAGACACATTCAGAAGCGACCTCTTCAACCCAAGTAGTGAAACCAGAAAGTCATGGCAGACACACAAAATGACCAATTCAGTTTTTCTGATATGTAATCATTTAAAGACTTGAATAGTTCTGCAGCTATGGTGTTGGTTGGCAACAAAAGTGGACATGCATGTCCTCATGCACATCCTCCTGAAAAATAGATCGCACAAAAACAAGCATTGTTTTGTCAACATCAGACTCATCAACCTGGATTACATGTCACAGTGAGTCAATATCCTCTGCTATTTCATCAATTCATCTAGTTTTGGTGCTAGCCAAATGGAGAACATGTGCCACCTTTTGGACTGCAGCCTCTCCTAAAAGTTCACAACAAATGTCCTTAGCAGTGGGCATGATGAACTCTTCACCAATAGTAAAGGGCTTCTTAGCTTTAGCAATGCAGGCAGCTCATCTTTGGGTCTTTCCCCCTTTTCAAAGAAGCTCTCCAGTAATGTTTGTTTTTTACTCATTTTGACTGGGGTTAGCTTGTGGGCTTACCAGAACTGTGACTGAGACAAGCGTGCAGTGCAGTGTGGGAGAGAGGCACAGATGGAAGTGGTTAATAAAATAATGGGCGGGCCACGCGCAGACTAAAATAAGTGTTGGATTCTAACTTAAAGCCTGCCACCAGAGGCAGCTTAGCTGTTACTTGCCACTCACTGATAGGGTTTTGATATGAGTGCAAGCAATTGATTTATTATGGTTTCTGTGCAGTCACACCTCTCTGCTAACGTTAATCTGTATTTGCAGCCGCTCCCCAGGGCTAGCATTACTGCCTCTTATTGTAAGCTCTGTGTGACTAGACCTGCTCTCCCCCCAGTCACCACTGTGTCTCTGGACCTGGTCAGTGCCTCGTATGTGTGATGTGACCAACTGCCCAGCAGTGCTCAATGCCCTGACCCAAATGTCCTATCATCCCTTCTCTCCACTCCCAGTAAACATCATCCTAGGCATTCCCGCAAGATTTCTTACCTATTTTCACCAGTCTCCTGTAGACAGTAGTAATAGTCAAACCGTTATTGAGTGCTTTCTATGTGCCAAGTAATGTCCTTAGTGCTCTTTATACACTGTCACCCTTAATTCCCAACAGCTTTATGGAGATTGACCCTTTCTGGTGAGGAGAGGAGGTGCAGAGGCCTTCCTGCTGCTGCCCGCTGCAGGTACCTGTGACAGCATCTGGGGAGAGACAGGTGAATTGATCCTAGGCTGGGGATGGGGCTGAACATCAGTAGCGGGCAGGGCTGCTCTGGCATGGCATAGTGTAGATGAGCAAACTCAGATTTGGTCTGGTAAGTATTAACTAAAAGTCACATAACAGAAGGGTTGGAGCTGGAATCCAAATCTTGGTTTTTCTGACTTGGATGCAGATAATAGGAACTGTTCCTGAAGCTAATAATTCGAGAAAATGTAACATTGGCATATGTCTGCTTTTAAAAATTTGATTCCCTTTGGTGTAAAACAACCCCAAGACTGCAAATTAGTATGTCGCACCTGGGTTAATGCATCTGGCACATAGCGTGGTAGGTTCTTAAAGAGGTTGAATGAAAACCTTGTTTTAAAGTGAAAAATTATTTTCCCAGCTTCTTCCTAAATAAGATTGTTTTTTATATGTCTTTTCCATTTAGTGAAAACTAACACGTCAGTCTTAAAGATACAATCTTGTCCACTGCATATTCTGGATACCCAGACTGGTTAAGATCTACGGGTTTCATATTGTTGGTTCCCAAACTCCAGCAGCAGACTTGTTTGGTGTTCAATAACTTTTGCTTTTCAAATTTTATGCAAGTTGTATCTTTTTAGGTTGCTAGTTGGCTTTTATTGAATTTTAAAATGCCACTTTGAAGTCCCATAACCACAGGCCCAGCTTCCTGCCAGTTCCTCTGTATGGTATCACTCTGCCTTACTCCCTGCCCTTAGACCTCTTTCCAAATCCCCAAATCCTACAGGACCACATTTTCAGACCTTGTTTGATAGCACTACTTCTGTCATTGTTAGCAGGCCAATGATACATTAAAGTAGTAAAACTAAACAGTACAAATATTTAATTTATTTTAAAGATTGAGTAGTTAGTTAACTTGTTTTTGTGTTTTTATACCACTTCCTATATTAACTTAGTCTGGCTTTTAAAATATTCAGAGCTGTGACATTCTAAAAATAGTTGCTTATAAATAAGGATTATTAGAGTAAGGTACATACATGGTGGATGTGATAGGCAGCTTTCAAGATGGCCCACAATGATGCCTGCTTCCTGGTGTTCATGGTCTCATGTATCCCCTCTACTTGAGTAACTTACTTCTAATACCTCAGCATTGATGGAAACGTCACTTCTGTGATTAGAATACAAAAGATGACTTCCAACTTGCTGACTCTCCCTTGCAGACTTTAATGAAGCAAGCTGCTATCCTGGAGAAGGCCATGTGGTGAAGAGTTGGGGGCAGCCTCTAAGCAACAGCTGGCTGGGAACTGAGGAGGTCAGTTCAGCGGGCCTGAAGAACTGAACGCTGCCAACCACGATTTAAGCTTGAAAGACGATCCTTCCCCAGTCAAGCCTTCAGTCCAGACCCCAGTCCTGGCCAATGCTTTGATTGCAGTCTATAAGAGACCCCAGCACAGAGGACCCAGCTGCGCTGTTCCCAGATTCCTGCCCCACAGAAATGGTGAGATCATAAATGCATATTGTTTAAGCCACTAAGTTTCTGGTGATTTGTTATGCAGCAATAGATAATACAATGGATGCTTAATGAAAAGGAAAAATAACTGCACTGCAAATTTAATAAGCCCTTATAAATCAGCCACATTGGTAAGTAATTACATATAAAGAATAGAGACACCCCAACAACTATTGATCTTTTTGTGATTAAAAAGCTCTCTCTTTTAATCTTTAAGAAAATGGACACGCCCTTGTTTTCTTTCATCTTTAAATGTTTAATTTTATGCCTAGGTAAAGATCTAGGCACACTGAACAAAGTATCTTGTAAGTTTTTAAATACACACCAATTAAATGATGATAAGCATTCAGAGCTTATTGAGCACTAAGGAAAACTATAAGAATGAAAGTCAATGTTACCTGTCTCTGGTCCTTTGAGAGTTCAGACAGGAAGGGTTCAGTGTGAGTGGTAGCACACTGATGGGCCAGCACCCCTATCAGAAGCACCTGTCTGACTCTGAAAGCTGACAGCTGAGCAGCCCTGGGCTTGGAAGAGGGTGGTGTTGAAGTAAAGAAGGAGCTAGGTGGGTAAAAGTATAATTGGAAATTTAATCCTCCTTGGCATTTTTATAATTTTTATTTCTCCTATATCCAGTGCTTACCCCCAAAGATACATACTGTATCAGCACATGGAAGTGGCTATATATTTAATTCTATGAGCACAGTTGACAAACGGTCAGAAGACAGTGTTCTTCTTGGTATGATTTTAGGTGGGGCAGGAAGTCCCATGCCACTTGGTTCAACCAGATTCTCCTTACATTTCAGTTGACCCACAAAATTGCCCTTGTATAGAATCAGCATGAGGAAATGCAGTCTTTTATTCTTACCTGTACATGAGATTTGATCTCCGACAAGCTTTGAGGCAGGGCATAAAACACTCATCATTTGAGTGGACTCACAGCGAGTGTCTTCTTGATAGATCAAGAGTGGATGTAGGACTGTTGAGAGGTGGGAGAGGGCACCAGATGCCAGACTTTGTTCTATCATAG